TTTCTGGTCTCACGGGGTTTTCAGTTTTTGTCAGTGTCTTATCTCAAGCCCTATGCAGTAATTTAGTTTGGACTTATTCTCATGAAGCATTTTTTTGCTAGCAAGGCACGCTTAATGTGTGTGTCTAAGTGCTTAAAATGGCTTACCGCTGCTACTTGATGGCGTTACATCGGTTGAAGCGCACATAGCGCTTCTAATGAATGCAGCTTGCCTTCACGTGCATTTCATTGATCGTGCCTAATAAGGCACCCGTGTGTAGCTTCCCTCCTTCTGACCACTCTCCGGTCTCTTGGTTTTGTCCCATTATTTAGCTGCATTCTACTGAGTGAAGAACGTAGCTCTTTTTATCGAGTCCTCTCATCTTTTGCTTCCAGCGGCGTTGTAGGCGTTGTAGTCAGATGAACTTTTGTGAATTGTTTGATCGATACATTTCGATTTCCCAACGCAATCCTCCACCGTTTTTTGTGTTCTGCTGCTAAACTTGGCAGTGTTTGGCGAGGGCTTTGTCGTGCAGCAAATTGTTGACTGCTAACGTTTCACCTATGCTTTGCCTGGAAAAGCCTGCGATTGTTTGTACTTTACCCAAATCGCAAACATGCCTTGTTTGTGTGTACATACGTTGTTGCAATGCTACTGGCTGCTTGAAAATCGCCATGTTTATATCTTCCCATGATGCATTTGTTTTCGACCAAGGCACAACCGCTTGTGAGGCTGCATTTTTTGGACCTCAACTAATCGCTTAACCGGACTCAACACATGCTGTTTTATGAATTTTGGTTGCTTTGGCTGAGTATAACTGCATTTTCTCTTCACATGTATACAATATTTCCTCAGTCTCTCGATGTTTCAGTCGCATGGCATTGAGGTTCAATGCCCTGGTTTCAAATAGAGTAACCTTAGCTGTTATTGGTGTGATCAGTGGGTGAAGTTTTCCCATTGCGACGTACACTTCATTGTTATCTGGTTTGACGTGTAAGGAGGTCGTTTTGATAAATTCGTTTAAGCTCTCAGTATCCGCATTACAAGTATTTGAAGGGTCCCATAACTTCATCCCATAATTCGACCTTTGCTTGAAAATTGTCTTGCAAAGCATATTTGCACTATTCCATTTTTGTTGCTGTTTTGCCGCAGTGGGTTCAATTAAATGGCCATGATACTTTGCTCTATACTATTTTTTTATTATTCCTTATGGACTGTCAGATGCCTTTATCATAATTCCAACTCCAGTGGTTTGCGCCGGTTTGTGAGTGGTAAATTTATTTTTGGAACACTGTTTTCGTTCTACTAAGTAGCAGCTGGTGAAGCTTGTCATTGAATGCAATCGTGTATGCATGTTTCGGCTCCCACTACATCCATTCTCGGTTATCATCAATCATATTTTCCATTCAGGCTTGATACAGCTGGTCTCTTTGTGCTCGCTTGTATTTGTCGTGGATCGAAAATTCCAAAACGGCTTCTCTTGCAAAGTGGTCACAGACTTTTTGAGAATAACTTTGGCTTGCGTTGTCGTTCATGGTTCTAAGATTAATAAGCATTTTTGAGATAAATTTTTAAATATTTATAGCCATCTTGTGAATCATGCTAGAAACATTTTAGGAATATGCATGCCTATGGACTGCTGTCTTTCTCTGAACATACGTTATGTTCCTTTCAGGCTTCTCCTAACACTCCTCGTCCAGATGTCCAAAAGATCAACAGCAATCGACCACGGCGTTCCCTGTGGCGTTGTAACCTTCTTTAATCCTGTCCTTTGTCGCTTTACTCTCTTTTTTGTGTGCGGAACAATAAGGTATTGGGTGCGATGCCTCTCGGCTCCCATTATTTTGATTGGTTATGCAAATTACACGGCCTTCCCTCCCTTGCTGCAACTCGCAAACACAAACAAACAACAAACAACGAACGTGCTTTCAGTTCTCACTCCGACGCACTCTTGCGGTTTAACGCTTCCTTGTGTACGTTGTGTAAATAATTCCGCTGCACCAACTCATCCGTTTACACACCTTATCGCCTCACATTCATACTTCCTCTTTCGTCTTATGTTTGCCTATTCTTGCGCGCATGACTTTCCTCTCTTCCTCCCATTTGGATGCCCTTGTCTGAGCTCCTCCACTCTCATTTCTCTCCGCCTACTCTTCTTCATCTTCTCTATGTACTATCTTATTTCAGATTTTATTTTACTCTCGCCACTCCTATGGTTCATTTTTACATTATTTCCTCTGGCTGATCGTCTTCCAAAAAGCATCGTACTTCCGCCTCACCGTCTCTCTGTTTCTGTGCATGTCTTCGACCTCCTCTCAGTTTCTCTCATCCTCTCGTACCCTCACTCTGGGCGTTCTTTAACAGCTTCATTCGGTGCTCGTCTCCCTCTCGTAATATGCATCCGCTTTGTCGGGCAAAGAATCATTGACTTCCACTACGAACTTGAGTTTGACTTTCGTGTGCGATGGTCTTCATGCTCTCAGTTCTTCTGACTGGATTTGCATTGTTTCGTTATTTGGCAGTGCCACTTTACTTTTCCGATATCCAGGTGATCGTGGACACGCATCAAATTAATCCCTAATTTGTTTATGGTGCCTTAGGTTACTAACGTGGGTGTTCAGAACAGTTGATGTCTACTGTTATTCTGTCTGCTAAGCAGTAAGGGATCAGCAGTTACGTTATTTTTCATCACCGGCAATTTAGCATATGGTACTTAATCAGCATTGTGGGGTGAGTTGTAAACACTCGAATTTGATCGCTCCACACTGGTGGTAATATTCTCTGTGAATCATTGTGATTTGCTCGGTACTGCCTTGGTCTTTCTAGCAAGCAGATGCTGAGATGAGTTCGTTTTTTTCCCAAAAACAGTTCCGGTTGTGTTCATTCATCTCATTTTGGTTCACTGACAGCTCTTCCATGAACCCTTCTGCATGATGTTGACGTCTGGAGTGGGGTTGTTTTATCAATGTCTTGGATGTTATTACTCATATTTAGTTCATAGGTTAAATGGATATGATATTTGTAGACGTTGTGTGTATTCGAGCCTACCACATGGCACGTAAGTTGGGGTTCACTTGCGGTTTTGTTTACTTTTCAAAATACCTGGCCTTTCGTAGCTTCGCTGTGCTACGTGACTTACTGAAATGATCGACCTTCGTGATCTTCACCAAAGGGTGGGTAGTGTTAGTGTGAGGTTTTGGTTTCTGTTTGCTGCTGTCTCTCCGCCATCGTGAACAACCGGTCATTGAATTTGTGCTCTGTCACTGATGGTAAGGACCTACACTGTTGAGTATGCGATGAATCCTATGCTTCTCGAGCTGAGTGAATCGGAGTTTCGTATTTAATGTTTACAAAGATCCGAGTAGATTAATGAATAGGATAGGTGCTTTGTATGCACGGTTCGTAATCGCACCTGTTGATGATGAGTTGAGGCGCTCATCGCAATTCACCACACGATGTCGTCATCATGCATAAGGCTGTCAGCAGCCTCTGATTAGCGGTCGTAACGCTAACAAATGGGCGCTAAATGTAATTGAGTGCAGCGTAGAATCGTCGCTGCTTACTTTGCCTTGATGGTAAGTATCTCCGGTTTAGCCCGGCCTTTTGTGTAATATGCAAAGCTGAGACCAATATGCACGTTACTATTTAGTCAAACAGTAAGCATCATAATTAGTTTACAATTATGATCAACACGGACCGCTACCGTAGGAGGAAGGCCTTGAATAAAAAAAATAAACAAGATATTTTTCGTTTGACCACTAAGCGCTTCAATTCTAGAACTGGTCATTGTCGGTAAATACAATTATTCGACGTTTATGCCAGAGCACTAACCAGCAGACTGGCATCTGGTTATGCAACATCGGAAATTCCAAAGGCTTGCATTGGTGCTATAATCGAGGTCCGATTTATTTTTTGTCTGCATGGCGTTTGGCCATTTGAATTCGTATAATCTTAGATGTAAGCACAGGCGTCCTTTAGGTATGAGCCTTTTGGGAAGTCCAATATTGACGTAGGCACTCTGGTCTGAGGAATTTGGGCCTAGAGGAAATACGAGCGTGCGAGATGAGACCATGAACATCAAAACAGCTGCAGCAGACCGATGCATGACTAGCTTACTAAGTGGTCACCACACGCGCTACGCATTGAGGGTGGTTGGAACAATCGCTCACTTTCAATTCAGAATCACCGGCGCTCATCGGAACACCGCCTTCCCATTCTCAACGCCTACCCTTACAATGATAACTAAAACTTGCCGCATCAAATTTAATCCAAAGTTCTAATCTATTATTAATCACAGAAATTCTCTTTGTAGTACAATTTTTTCACAGGGCACAGCTCAAAACTCGTCACAATTCTTGATAAGCACCATTTCAGGCGTCCAAGTGAGCATTTTGTGCAGCCGGGGATGACGCATAGGCCATGCTAATGTTGATTAAATGCAACACAAGAAATGCCACGCCTCTATTTATGTAACGACTTCATTCACGATTTTAAAACTTCACGTACTGCGTCACCTACTGATAGGCGTGGAATCCTGTAAAGGCATGAATAGACTTGGTGACAAGACATTCGAAGAAACAAGGAAATGAACCCTTTCATTGGACAGCGAGGAAATAACTCATGGAAATCTATCGACTCCTTGATTTAAACTAGCCACAAGATCTCAGTCAAGCTGTCGATACCTCCAAAATATTAATTCCATTAATAACCTAGTTCACTAAACAATCAATCCCTTGAAAGGCGCATGGTTCAAGGATTGTAAAGGAATCTAAAATGAGATGCACAATGAAGGCTAAATTTTATTCACTCATCAAATCAAAGAAATAAGCGCATGGTTCGACAAATGCCTCTGAATTCGTGTGAAAGTGTGACCAACTAGCCCGCAATGCCTGCTACACTTGGGAGGAACAAACAGTGGATGGAACTAAAATGCTGAGGGGAGACACAGTGGTGTTTGACAGTGCAAGGGTCTCAGCCAAGTCGATCCCACACTCCACCTTTTCTGTTGGCCCGCGTACCGTTCAAATGACGGTGACGATGCCACCTCGAAGACCGCGGCAGATCTCTTGGTCTGTGAACAGGAAAAGTACAAAGAGGAACGACAAAATAAATAAACTTTGAACCCACCGACAGTTATAAAGCGTGTCAGTACCCGAGACATTGATGAAAATTTAGGTAAAAGCGTTAATACGAAACTATACCCATGTATGTCAAATAATTCAAAACAGTCTAACCTTCGTGGGGAGTACTAAATTTTGGCAAAAAAGGTGGGTGGCGTTTTAAACTCCATTTCACGCCTCTCAAAGAAATGGTAGCATAATCCAATCAGTGCAGAATGAAAATGTAGGCGCAAGAAAGCACCTCACCGTCAGTAATTTGCAAGGTTTTAGACCGTCAACATCAAATACTTTCGGACGAGGGTAAGCAAGGTATTAGGCTTCAGTAAATTCACATTCACATTCGTAATATCCAGGTCTTGCTGAAGTAATACAAAAGCTGCTGACGGAGTCGTAGTTTATCGTAACCAACAGTACAGCAAACAGAAACTCGACCCAGCTCCTGTAATCTAGGTACAAATTACAAATATTATGGCGTATTGGGAAGAATATGTCTCATTTATTTGAACAAAACCGGCCGTGATTTTTTTCAAATCCTTCGTCTATACTAATCTGGCCTTTAATGCGGAAGGTAGGCGTACATAAGCTGAACAAGCGACACTGACGCATCAAGGTGTGCGCAATAGTGCTCTGATCATTTCTGGAACGTGCAAACATGGAAAAGCATGCCTGATTTACAGGTTCTTCAATAAGACCAGAATTTTTGCAAAAAAGGCACGAAGAGTAAGAGGTGGAGACTTACCCACTCGGACTGAATAAATTTTCGCCCTGAAGACACATCTTGGCCCTTGTTGCCTCTTCTTCGACATCAGCAACCATACGAAGAGAAGTGAGCATTTGCACTTCGCCACAATCCTTCTGCGCATCGTCGTCGTCGGGAAAGATGGTTACAGTGGCGAGGGCGGGTGCAGATTCTCCAGTGCGAGTACCCAGGCGTTGTTTGACGCTCATCCGGCCAAAGTCGAAGTTGAGTGCTGACTGGTGAACTGGAGGGTGGAAGACAGTAGTTGCCTCTAAGGAAGGTACTGATATACCCGAAGACCTTCGTGGCCACTTTGGGGGTGGGTTCCGAGGAGGCCTTGACAACCCGCTAGCTGAAATAATAATCATTTCCAATCAATTCGTGAGGGCCAGACGATATTCCATGGATGAGCTTCAGGTTGAAGACATCCACTGGCTCCAAGGATCCATTTTTAGGGCTAATGATCACTGGTAGGGGATATAGAGATTTAAGTAATTACCAACCTGATGATGTCCAAAATGTTACCAGACATTGGATATGCAAAACAATGCGACTACGATCCCATAGATTCTAGCAATTGGAACAAGACAGCTAAATAAATGAGTTTGACTTTGGTTGTGGTAAATTTACTTTAAAAAATAGGCTAAGGTTTCCTGACTCCTTCCAAGTCGCACCTGGTCCAAGCCGCCAATAAAGTGCATCCAATTCGAAAAGAAGAAATCGGTAATAAACAGTGAAAGCACGCCAGTTACCTTCAGCCTCTCTTCGTCTTCCGGAAGCTAAATTTTGTCGCCGCGGATGACAATCCTCCTCTTCAGAATCAGCGATACTACCATGCTGAAGATGCACCACCAGTCCATGAACGTCGTCATTATAAGTGATTAGACTTCGTGGGCTCTTAAGAGTGACGCAACGCGTGTCAATGGACGGTGTAACGGCCTTAGCTCTACGTCGATAGGAACGAGACAACAAACCAACTGCCCCGCCATAATTTGGATTTCCATACCGGCGATAATAATTGCTTCGACGCTCAGCTCCAGGTAACTTCACATCGCCTAGAGTAGTAGGGAATTCTTTTACCAACACCAACTATATTGTTTAATGGACAGCACACACTGTTCTACGACAGCGACTTATCAGAGAGAAACTTGAGAAGCTAATAAATCAAGTGCTAATGTACTTGAAAGACAATAACAAGAAAATAGGAAATTGAAATAGTCTTACTCTTATGTGCAATACGAAGGTAAAGACAGAAAGCACGTTCCGGAGAAGAGACAGACTTGAACCATCTTCCGTTGGGAGGCATCAGATTATTGGTAGCTCCAACCACAGGTATAGATTTGGAGTCATCGGATGACCTCAAAAATTCATAATTGTCTTCGCCATTCATTGTGGAAACAACGGCTGCCATTGCTGCAAGTGCAACTCGACGATCGAAAGGCTCAGCTAACTTATTCAAAACACGCAGAACAATGTTTTCATTGTTCATAATAATGTTACCTTAAAGAGATGAATTTGCTATCAAACAAATACAGGCAACATTGCCAGTAAAAAACACACTTACAGGACGAGTCATCTATCCATTCAACCCCCTTCGGATTATACTCTTCCAACCAATCAAGAAGATCCTTGGTACTTAAATCATGAGTGCCCCAGACATGGAGAGTGTCCATTCTATAACCCTCGGCCACCATCACATCTCGACCATCAACGAAACCCAAATGGGCATAAATACTTCTAGCATTAGCTTCAGTTACTCCTAAGTCGGAGCCACATTGGCAAATCTCCGTCTAAAAGATAGCCTTAACTTTGCTCAACTGATCATAAAGGAAGCGATTTCATATGAACCGCTCGTTGGCATTTTCTACAGACATTAAAATTGGATTTCTTGCTAATGCTCCACTGTGACACAGCAGTTTGTCAACTAACCTTACATAAGCAATGGTCTGGTAAAATGCAGTCCGATGATATGTGAGTGGGGGAACGAACGCTTATCTTGGCGGCGTCGACCGTAATGCTGAGTGTCGAAGCATCAGAGTCCGTCAGAAACATTAAACCACCAGATAAGCAACCAATGTATGCACAACAATACGATACAGATAATTAACATAAGCCCCACCCAATCCTCTTAGGCGAGAAATTACCCATCACAAAAAAACATACCCCGAAGATGCTATGAGATAAGCCAGGATCCACTGTTTTACTTATTGTGATTCAATGCGAAAAGTAGAGCTTACCAGTATGCACTATTATACGGCCTGGGGAATCAAAAAGGCGTTAAAAATGACCAATGAGTAAGGGCATTTGTTGTAAAATCACGTTTGAGAGAGAGAATCTTTAACACTGCACACCCAATTTTGCGATTAAGAATCCGTCATGGTGATGTAATCTTAAAAAATTTTGCATCTTTAGTCGAGTTACATAAATGTACATTCAGACTTTCCACTAGGTAGAGGCAGGAATTAAGTTGGGCTAAACACATGTGTTCTAGAGACATAAGAAGGGATAAAACCTTAGTTTAACCAGACGGTCATCTCAAGCATACAAGGACAAGACAAATTCCAAAGTATCCGCTAAACATCAGGTGACCAAGTAAAAGAATTAACGTGCATATCCTATTACGCTGAAGAAGAGGGAGCTTTACGAAATCAGTTTGGTGAGATA